TTTTTTGGTTGCAGCCGTCATTGTTGTTTTGGCGGGCCCGGGCTGGATTCAAACCCGCCACCTTAGGTGTATGTGGCTGGCGCCTTAGCCACTTGAGCCACAGGTGCCAAGCCTGAATGACTTAATTTAAAAATAATTAATGAATTAATTTAATTAAGTAAATAAATAATAATAATAATAAACCTCTCCCCTCCTGCAGCTGCACCCTCACAGCGTGTGGCTTACGTATAGGATTCTTTAGCTAGATGTCTGCAGTTTGCTTGGTCTTTGTTTTTGTTTTAGGTTTGGGCTTTTTAAATAAAATAGAAAGAAAAGAAATGGAGGATTATTTCTGAAACTCCTACTTGAAGAATTCTTATTTCTATCTAAAATGTCAATAGCACTCACAGGTGGGTAAATGGTCATCATGTTGGGAACTCTTGTCCATGAACCTGTAGGAGGAACAGAAATTTCCAGAAGGTTGCTCCTTTGTGAAATTCCTCATATGGCAAGCTTGTCTTTGGGGATGAGAGTGACAGGTCATATACTGATGGCACGGAGCAAGTCATAGTGAAATAAGGAATGAATGTAAATAGCTACTACCTAAAGCTGCTGTCTGGGAACAGAGAGCCACAGTTCAGGGATTCACCTTGATTTCTCATCTATACAACCCTGAGACCTTACCCAGCATATACCATGTTTCCCCGAAAATAAGACTTACCCAAAAAATAAGCCCTAGCAGGATTTCGTTGCATTTGTTAAATATAAGCCTTACCCCAATAATAAGACCTAGTGATGCATTTCAGCGCGGAGTGGTAAGGAAGACTGGAATATCTTTTATCTGCCACAGCTCCTTTCTCCGAGCCGTTAGCACTTATGCAGGTGTGTGTGTGTGTGGTAACCATGGTTGCAGGCATCCTATCATGCATGTGCGAACGGCTAGGGGAAAGGAGTTCATGCATCACTAGTGCCAGCCCCACCAACAAGGCCGGCTCCCCCGTCAGGTTCCAGAAGATGATGACTTAATTGTATTTGAATAAATGTACACTATTGTATTATACTTAATAAAAATAAGACATCCCCTGAAAATAAGCCCTAGTGTGTCTTCTTGAGAAAAAAATAAAAATAAGATAGTGTCTTATTTTCGAGGAAACACGGTAGTTCCAAAGACCTCTTCAAACTTGAGCTTTTATAGACTCTAATCAGCATAAGATATGGGGACAGGGAGAAGATTGGAAATACCAGCTAAACACAACAGTGTTCTCTTTATATATTTGGAGGACTGAGCGAAATTTGATTATGTTATCTCAAAATGGGACAGTGGCATGTAGAAATTTATGTTCAAGGCTGTTCTCTTGCAAATGGTCATTGAGCTTTATAATAATCCATGCACATTACTGTCACTTTGTTTTTGCAAGACTAACATAAGGAATATGTTTGTCTACTCAGGTTTAACTGTGATCTTCATGCCCTGGGTTTCGTGTTAATGTTGGTGACAATAAGTAAATATAAATACTGTATTAAGTGTTGTCTTCCTCGATGGAACACAGTAAACATATTTACCATCGCAACGCGTTTCTTCCTAAATTTAACTTCTACCTTTTGCTCTCAAGTTTCACTGGCGAGCTAATGGTCCCAAGTTAATGTTTGTGTGTAGTCGCCCACACAGGTGTTTGACATCAGGGGGCCTTCCCAGGCCCAGCCTCGCTCAGGATGTAATTTATTTCAGCCCCCTGAAATGCTGATGTTCTTTCCGGTTGTAGGAATTGCGACCACTGAGCTGTGAGTACAAAATGGAAAATGTAACCAGGATGGTGGTGTGTGACCTCGGGAACCCTATGGTGGCTGGAACAAATGTAAGTGAAAACCAGAAGTGCTTTCTGATTCCCTTCAACTTGAACTTTACCGAGAACTAATGGAAAGTTTCCAATTAGCACTCAGCAGCTCAGCACACAGCAACTAGAACAAATTAGGCAGGAAATTACAGAAGTAGTGGGCTTTAGCATTCTAACCTACAAAGAGCAAAAAAATCTCAGGTTAAAAACACAAAAAGAATATGCTTTCTCTTTAGACTTTCTGTGTATTTTAGTTGTAACAATTCAAGACTTTCTTTTTCTACAGGATTTTTTCTCTAAATAGTTTCTCTTTGCATTTTGCTACAGATTTTCTTTGAATTCAGAAATGACTCAGAATTCAGAACATAAATGACTCTAAAAATAACCCAATTCAAGCAAATATTTTAACAAAGACAATTAACTTTTATGTCCCATATACCTCTGTATGAATACCATTCATAGTAATTTGATATAACAAATATTACTATAATCCAGTCTTTGAATCCACTTTACTGGGTTTGTATTTTCCATTATCTTAGTTGAAGAATAATACAGAATGTAGTGGGTAGTTTTGTAGCAAGGGGAAAAATGTTAAGAATGATCTCCAATATGCTTGTGAAAAAAATATGAGTTCTTTTTCCTCCTCCTCCTCCTTTTCATTTCCAGGTTTTAAAACTTTCCATGCAAGATTACTTATGGGCAATAAATTCCTATTATGCCCTTGCAGCTGAAGTACACCCCTGGTACCTTCTTGTAACAAATATAACAGTAGCAATTATTTTATGAAGCCATAAATCAGGAAAGAATTCTGAAAGTTCTAATAATTAAATCTGACATAAATTGAACATACATATTCCTCTGCTTAAAATTAGATGTTTAGGATTATGGATGAAATGGTCTGTTTGAAAAAAAAAATTCATGAAAAGTTATAATTATGTAGGTTTGTGTTAAAACAGCTTCCCAAAGTATATTCCAAAGCACCTCAGTGCTCTGAGCTGAGGCTGTCCAGGGAATTTTGGAGTCACTGCACTGCTGAGTGTATCCTTCCCCGGGAGATTCAGACACACATTTACATTTTAAAGGTGCCCATCCGTCTTCCAATAAATAAATCTTTTAGCTTAATGTTTGACACATTTATCTAATACTTGAGCACTTGAAGATTTTCTCAAGCAATACCTGTTCCCAATTTATACTTTAGGATATTATGCTGGAATAATATTTTTGTTCTTTTACATTATAACATGACATTGACTTCGGGCATTTCAAAAGTGTGTGATGGTCCAGTAAACTCAATTCTTAGGTCAAAAATAAGCAAATACATAAATGAAAGGTAAATTCTATAACAGATTACTATGACTACTGTGGATTGACTGTACTTTGTGGTATAAATCTATCCCTGGGGGCTAGGAGGTCCCTTTTATGGCACTTTATTGAATTTTCAAAACAACCCTATGAGTCAAGTATTTCCTCCATTTTATAGATGAGGAAACTGACGCTTGGGGAAGTCAAATGAATTGCCCAAAATCATACGGATGTTGACATTCAGAAAAGTGGGATTCCACGTGGGCCTGACCACAAAGCCCCCATGCTCAGTGCAGTCTGCGCAATTCTGAAAAGTACTTGGATAAAAACTAACAAAGAACAGATGAGAGTTTAAGATGAAGCCATGAAAGACACAAGGGGAGGTCCAAGCTGAGATATTAGAACATTTTTTTCAATCAGAATCCTTTTATCTAAGAGAATTTATCTATTTACTACCTAATGAACGAATCCTTTTTGCTAGTTTCAAGAAGAATCCTACTACTTAATTGATAGGAGGAAGTTTACCTAAAGCCAAGGAGAAAAATGCAGGGAGATGGGGACAACAGCGTCAGCATCTGTAGATGACGGGTCACTCATTCCTTTCTCAGTATTAGAAATGTTACATTTAGGCCAGAGATCTCGAGGAGCATCGGTAACTAAGGATAAACTTGAAACAAAAACTGGCCACCAGTGTCATTCAAAGGGGAGGCAAAATGGCAGTGTGGTCTTAACCATGAGCGTGTTTATGTGAAAGGATGCCAGTCTGTTTTACTAGCAAATAATCTTTAGAAGTCAGCAAAGTAAATTGTTTATGTTCATTTATCTCTGAGGTCTGTAGTCGAAGAAACCTAATAGCTTTCTTATCTTACCCTTTAATGCCCTTAAACACATCAAATTTTATTGCGTTCTGTTTCGTTATAAAACACTTTGATTTATTTACTTCTTCATTTTGTACTTTAGAAAGAATACTCTCAGTGGAGTGTAGTAAAATTCCAAATGTAAAAGCAGTCCTAAATATTAAAAATGCCTCATAAATCCTGAAGAATATTTATTCCCATTCCAGTATCTTTAAAAAGTAGTATTCAGATGTTTTCCTTCTGATTTTTTTCTTCTTTTGAGACAGAGTCTCACTATGTCACCCTTGGTAGAGTGCCATGGCAGCACAGCTCACGGCAACCTCAGACTCTTGGGCTTAAGCAATTCTCCTGCCTCAGCCTCCAAGTAGCTGGGACTACAGGCACCCGCCATAATGCCTGGCTATTTTTTGGTTGTAGTTGTCATTGTTGCTTGGCAGGCCCAGCTAGATTCAAACCCACCAGCTCCTGTGTATGTGGCGGGCACCCTCGCCACTTGAGCCACAGGCACTGAGCCTCCTTCTGATTTTTAAATAGTATGGGGGAAGAAATCCTCAGAACTCTGGCCTCCTCCCCCCTTATGGTCTCTGGCAGGACTTTATTCCCTAAACCTCTCAAATAGTAAAATCTTTTTTATATAGTAGCTACAGTGATATAAAATAGTCATGTATCAATATTTGTAACAACTTGCAAATTTTCTCAAGCAAGAAAATGATGGTTCAACAAAGATTCTTTAGAATCAGTGGGCCAGAGATCTGATGTTTGGTACTAGTGAAAAACACATTCACACCTTGAACTCATAGGATATTGCCTCTGTTGTGTTTTCATCCTGTGCTGAATGTCCCTGTAAGGAAGACCAGCCTCAACAGCCTCCCTCACAATATATAGTAAGATGCCCGTCACTGGAAATGTGCAAATAAGGGTACACTCTCATCATTCTTTCCACAATTTTTCTTGTACTCTATTTTTCTTTTAATTTTTTAAAGCAAAAGGACAGAGTTTGTTGAAAAAAGAGATAGATAAGAGAAAGAGGAGGAACCCAAGTGGGAAGCCCCTCTTAGACTCTTTCTGTAAGCTTAATCCCCATTCAATAAGAAACTCAAAATTAGCAATATCATAGGTTGAGTCCAGAAGAGCAGCAAAAAAGGAGACCTAGAATAAAGATGAGAAATACTCTGCTAGGCCCAGCCTGTAGGATCAGAGGATATGTCTCAGGAGATCCCATTTGTCCTGAGCTTTCAAGCACAAGTGGGAGTTCTTTAAGGAGAAAAATCAGGAGAAAGCTCAAAGCCTTCTAAAGAAGAGAGAAGGGCATCTGCAGAGGCCTGATAGCAAACTTCTCCTTTGGAATTATTAAAAATAATCATCATTACTGGGACACAAGGATGCACATGCTTTATAACCAAGACGCATCTGTGTTTAAACGCCAGCTGTGCTCAGCTGAGATACCTTGAGCCAGTCACACCGGAATGAGAAAACGCAAACTTGTAGGAGTGTTTGGAACTATATAATTACATCAGAAATGTAAAGCCACCAGGGAAGGACAGGGTTCCTAGCACATTCAGTTAGGGCTGGTGAAATGCTGATGATGCCTTATGATACAGAAGATCATTTCTTATTAGTTCATATTATTCCTGATTTATCTTAACACAAGTGTTTGTTCCTGGACTGATTCTCATACTGTAGTGGCTGTGATTACAGATTCTGGAGTCAGCTTTGCAGGGATTTAAATTCCAACTCTGGAGTTTATTTGCTCTGTACCTGGAGCAAGGCACTTAATCTCTCTAATCCTCAGATTGCTGCCCAATTGCTGAATGTCAACAATGACCATACCTACCTCCGAGTGGTTGTCATGATGACATGAAATAATGCATATCAGGCCTAGCACAGAAAGTGGAAGAGAAAGTAACGTCATTGGATGGACATGTTACCTATTATTTTGACTTCCTTATTTACACCATCCTTGGATTTATCTTTCTCCCTGTTTTTATCTACTTTCAAATAAGAGCAGTTTTAAAAATTTATAAAATAAGGAAAGGAAAAAAGCAGTCCCTATAACCTTAAGGTTATCCTATATTAATATTATTCTGGAATATCTTCTTACAATACATCCCCACTCCTGTACAGTAATTTTTCCATGCATAGACTTCTAAAATCATAGCTGAAACTCATAGCAATGAAACATTGGAATCATTATTTGTCATGGCTCATTGTTACATTAGAAGCATTTTCCATATCCTTGCATTGATTCCACAGCCATAATTTCAATGACTACATAAATGTCCATCAAACAGAAACACCTTGGTTTTCTAAATAATCTCTTCACCTACATGTATATGGGTTACTTTCAATTTGGCACATAAGGAAGCAAGCTGGAGAAGGGTTGGTATAGTACTTAATGGAGAGAGAACCAAATATAGAGGAATCTGAATCTTCTGGGTCCTGTGGTGTCCTCTCATAACTTCCACTGGGCTCTCAGCCACCCAGAATAGAAGCAGGAAAAAGGATAGCCCCAGCAATCCAGGGTGGGGTTTTGTAGGGATGACTTAGAAAAGATTTTTATGCTGTGTGAAAGGTCCTTTTCATGTAGTAACTTTGTCTCTTATATGGTTTTTTGGGTTTTTTTTACTTTTAGTATTCTCTGGGCCTCCGATTTGCAGTTCCACGTCTTGAGAAAACAAATATGAGCATTATCTTCGATCTCCAAATCAGAAGGTTAGGCCTTTAAATGCCTACAATCTCTCCGTGATCCAGAATGAAAAGATGTCATGTGTCAAGGTCCTTCCCCTTAAAGCTCTTCTGCAATTGGAACCCAAACTTTCACAGCCTGTTTATTCGTTTTTCTCAACTATTTTGGTTTTTGCAATGTTTTGGTTTTGAAAAAGAGATTACATTATGTCATAGGCCAAGTAGTGAGATAGTTAATACTTTGTCCTGAAGCTGGCCCTCCCGCCAGCTTCACCTCTGCTTTTTCTCATTCCAAGGACTCCCCTACAACCTAACATGGCCTCAGCTGGGTGTTCCCTGAGAACAAAACCTCTTCAAGTAAGCATAAATTTTACATCTGCAATGTTGGAGTCTCCTAAATTTTCAAAAATGAATGAGTCTCTGATGGCTTACTTGTGGGAACCATGGAGGGATATAGGAGAGACATTGTATTTTGAGGGCAGAGCATTCTTTAGTATCGAGCTAAACCACGTAGGTAGCTGCCCTCCTTTTCTAAAGCTGACCCAGTTTGAAGATTCACTTGTGACTTTATCCTTGCATTCTCTTTGCTCCTTCATGGCTGAAAATAATATTTCCTGAATGGGAAGACCTGCAGAGAATAATGTGGCATGTGGGCAGGGGCTTCCCAGCTGTGAACTTCAACCCATTAGCTGGTAATGAAATCAGTTGAATGACTCTAGACCCATATTAAAAGAAAGAGATGGGAGGCTGAGGCAGGAGGATCCCTTGAGCCCAGGGGTTTGAGTCTAGTCTGGATAACATGACAAGACCTCATTTCAAAGAAGGAAGGGGGGAAGAGGAAGGAGGGAAGGGAAGGAGGGAGGAAGGAGAGAAGGAAGGAAAGAGTTGATTGAATGGAATACAACATACAGTGATATAATAAGTGATATATTAGCACTATTTATGAAACATTTCTTTCAGATAAGTATAAATGCATGTAGTAAGATGCCTTGTGAGATGTATATATTTATCATGATCTACAACTTTAAAACAGGAATGCAAACCCCCAAGGTTATTTATACCTTGCCCAGTATATTAAACCCCAACTACTAAAATGACTACAAATATCTACAGTTTGGTTCTCAAATACTAGGGTGTAATGTAGTTAATCCTTAAATTTACCTTGATATCATGCAGGGATTGTTATTAGAGTAGCAGTGTCACAAACCACTTCCCCACCACCACCATCAAACTGAGATACATTTCTAGGGAGGAAAGTTTGCTAACTTACCTCCCGTGTTTTGTTTTGTTTTGTTTTTAATTTCATGAGGTGTGTCCTGAATTTAACTGAGATAGTTTCTGTGGAATTATAGACTTATAAAAAATTTTAATCCAAATTATTATTGGAGTGCAGATAGAATGAATTCTTCATTTTAGCAAAAGCTTAGTTAATCACGTCTTTATATCTGAATACATTCTCAAAAGGTTCGTGTAATCCTAAATATTTTCATTTCAGAAATACGCTTATATTTCTAAATTTCTAGTAAGAAAAGAAAAACATGCTATAGCAAAGGGCCACTGTCACTGTATTCAGTAGCCTGAAGTTTCCATTTCTGTCCATTATCATCTGTCGATAATGCATCATTATCTGGGGCTAACTGATTCTGCAGTGGCACGAAGCTTTGCATCACTTACAGTGCACAGCCTTGATTCATACAAATGCACAAAGCAATCTCACTGATATTTCCTCCTTACTCTGGATTATAGTTGCAAAGAAGAGAATGGGTTCAATTAGCAGTTCATTCAAGAAGCAAAAGATATCACATGATATTCTAAATGTCTTCCCCAGATCCATGCTGTAGATCATCACTTAAAACAAAAATTCAGTAATAAAATATTGAATTCAGTGTACAATAGAAATGGCCACATTTTTGACACCCCCATTGGTCTAAAAACTGTGTCAAGATGATATTTCATTTCTACTCAGGACTAACGTCATCCTCAAAAATATAAAAATGCAAAAATGCAGAAAGAACTTGAATATATGTAAAGCGTTCAACTCCTAAAACATACATTATAGAGATACACATGAGAATACGGTGTTCAAGTAAAACTCAAATACCAGGGTATTTGAGAGGTAAGCATTTATCTGCATGCCTTGTTAACACATTCCAAAGACGTAAATAAGCATTTATTTATATTATGTGCCTGTTTCCACAAATAAAAGCCAAAAGAGAAATAGGCTTTATAAGTTAGTAAGCTTAAACATATTTCCTGTTAGCAAATATTTGCATTAATTGCCCTCGATCTATATGACGTAAACATTCTCCTCCCGTTCAGAGTGAGTCTCAGATGGCAATTCCCAAGTGCAAACACATCTTTGTAAGCATCCTTGAAGCTGCTTCCTTAGTAATGGTGAAATGGGCACTGTGTTATTTTTTTTGACATTGCCGAGGCCACGGAAAATGTACAGGGAATGTTCAAAAATAGAAAATAGGAAGTAGAAAGGAGAAAGACAATAGCACTGGAGTAATAAAGTGGAAAACAAGCGTGTTTATCATTGACGTATGGCACAGGGCACAATCAGAGAGGAAATTCATCCTTTCTTGCATAGCACCACCAGTATAAATAGCTCAGTGTCCGCGCAGTGATGGATGGCTTGTTTGGATGTGGCGATGCTATCAGTGAGGGAGGTTTCCTCGTAGGAAAAAGGTCAAGGAAACATTTCAGTTATATAGCAGGCCTGGTTCCTTTCCTACCAGGAGATTTTGTCAACCCCACTGGTATGTGGTAGTAAGTGGCATGCAAGTCTATGTGACCGAGAATGATCCTGATAACCCAGCCAGAAGGTCTGGGCTTCAGTCTGCCGTTGTTCTGCTGTGTTTCAAAACAGCCTTGAGAAATCTCCTATCAGACTTACTTTCAAAGACCATCTCAATGTTTGACATCAATGTACATATTCAGGATCTCCTGAGTAAGGAAAATTGTTGTTAATTTAAACCACTTGGAAACAAAACATGATTGAATTATGTCCTACCGTAAAGGAAGCTTTGCTTTTTCAGAATTCTGATTTCCCACTGCTACAAAGCAGTCATGAAATAGAACAAAATCTGGTTGGTCCATAGAAAAGCTATATTTAAATTTCCAAACTAAAGACTTGCCTATCATCTACTTGAAACCACAAACTCTGCAAGAAGTAGAATGAATTAATCGCATCTCAGTAGTTAGAGTTCAGAATCCTGCGTTTTAAAAAAGAAACAAATATGACTTTTTAGTTGACAGATGCTCCCCAGATAAGATAATAAAATGACCCGGACACTGGAATCCAAACTTCAGTGAACGAGTCCTTCCAGGTTTAATCAGGGCTTAGCGGTGAGGCCCCATTGCAGAAATGAGCCTGACATTTGCCCATTTATGTCTTTCATGTATGTTTGCAGTTTAAACGACCTTATTGGTGTATGAAACTGACCATTGTGGGAACAAATCTGTCTCCTCCTCCTTCAAAAGCAGAATTTTATCATATCCTTTCAGCCTCCGCATTTGGAAAGCTTCAGTAGCCGGTTGGAACCCACCCATTGCCACCATCACAGTGCTAGAGTGTGTCTGTTGAATCCTCGTGAGATTTGATGATGAAAACAAACGGTGGTTTTCTTTCCATAATCAAACTTGAATATAAACATAGCCTGCTAGTGGCAATATGGCCACGCCTCAGTTTCCACCTCATTTTTGGGTGACTTAAATGGAAGCACATCTATAAATCAGATGGCTGCTGCCCCCAAAGCTCAGTTACCAGCTGAGCCTCTTGTGGAGTGTGTGAATTTTCCTTATAGCACAAACTTTAGCCCCACACGTGCATTTTTTAAAAGTTCAGTTTTCATGTCTAATTTTATTCGCGTGAGAGGAAAAAAACCCAGCAATCTTAAAAAATAATTTTGCCACTGTTCAAAGCGGTATGATTAAACACACACCTTTTATCCTGAGACTCTTGATGTATTTCCCAGACTTCCACGGCATCTCTTGATTGCCTGATTATGAACTTCCCAGCTTCCTTGGGTCTTGCTTCTAGTCATGCTTCTAATTCCCTCCCCTCTCCTTGCCCTAGTCAGCCAGCGAGTATACAGTAAGTGTACACTTATTTTAATATGAATTTAAGAAATAAACTGGAAGGGAGATAAAATTGCTGCCAAAAGCAACGTATGATATGATGCATTCCAGAGCCAAACACAAATGCTGTTTCCATTATGGGCTGAACCGGATTATTCAAGCCAGTCCTCCTCTTTATTAGCATGGAGAATCAGGAGTCGGTTGTGCTGTCATTTCCTATTTGACAGACAATGAATTTGATGCATGGAGATGTTAAGGAATTTGTCCAAAGAGAGCCTGGAAAATGAACTCAGTCTGATGCCTCTTGGTTTAAGCATTGAAATAACAACAACAAAAAATAAATATTAGGTTCTCTAGATCTACTATCCCCGATTCTCGGTCTGTGGCCTGGTAACAACCAGGTCACACAGCAAGAGGTGAGCGGTAGATGAGCAAGTGAAGCTTCATCTGTATTTACAGCCACTCCCCATCACTCACGGACTCCGGATTATGACAAATTGTGTAATTATTTCATTATATGTTATAATGTGATGAAAATAGAAATGAAGTGCATAATAAATGTAACATGCACAATTCATCCTAAAACCATCCCCCCATACCAGTCCGGGTAAAAATTGTCTCCCATGACAATTTTTGTCATTGGTCCCTGGTGCCAAAAAGGTTGGGGGCTGCTGCTCCAGATATCTGTGCTATTTCCAGATAAAGTATCTCTTCAGGGAAGCTCATTACGTGGCTGTTGATCATAAAGGATCTCAGTACTTCCCTGGACAAATGGTTGTGATTTTGTAGAATGAATCTTTTTGTTTTCTAAATGACCAGGTTGGCAATGTGTATTGCTCTTGTGATATACAGAATGTTTTCCGTGATCATGTAGTGTGGTAACACATCTGAGAAAACGTATTTAAATCATATGTCCCTGTGTTTTAGTTCCAACAAGGACAATCCAGACAGCAATTTTGTGAGTTTGCAAATCAACATCACTGCTGTAGCTCAAGTGGAAATAAGAGGGTAAGTCATAAACGAGGCCTTGTAGTTGTGTAATAATAGCTTTCTGTACATAAAGAGTTATGATAAAATACTAGTGAAAACTACATGGCATTTTCCCAATGCACTAGAGATGACAGTTCACTGTGGTTACCAATTTTTATTCTTTTCCGCTAATTATGAGTCTCCCATTGGAAATTATAATAAACCCTGAATGATAATTAACTCTAAAGATATCAAAAGAAGAAAGCACTTTATTCCCCAAACTGATGAGGTAATCAAACTATAAAAACCAGTTGATAAGAAGCTAGCTAAAATAGATAACTATGTGATTGCCTAAAAAAATCACATCTCCAATAATTATTTTAGCATAAAAATTTAGCCTCACTATATCTTGAGATTAATAAATGGCTAACTTTTAGACAAGCAAGACACGCAGATCATTTGAGTCTACATTTTATACCTTTCCTGTGGATCCTGTTCTTTGAGGAAGGTGCCAGTAAGAAATTGAATGAGAGACAGGAGGAAAGGGGTTGTGGGCAAATCTTCTTACTACCTAATACTCTGAGCAGAATAATGCTCTATCCATCTTAAGGGTGGAAGGCCTAGTCAGTAAGGGTTGTTAGATTACTACGCTCACTCTTCATCCAAGGACAATTGGTTATGTTCTTTCTTCCTTGCTTGCTTCTCTCTAAAAAATTCACTTTGAAAACCATACTTAGTGTTTCACTGATTTAACTGGGATCTTGAGAGAGCCATTCTTTGCCATGGGTTCCCCCGATCTGAATCAGTCTTCAATAGATAAATAACTGGGCCACACTTTTTATGAGCCTCGCTTTTTGAATGACTTTGTCATGGCCTGTGATGGTTGTGTATTTCTACTTAGATTTCTATTTGATTTTGTTTCAGAACTGCGCCGGGAAGTTTGTGTTCATTAAATACCACTGCAGCTTGGGGACCCTTACGGGGCATTGTATATTGGAAATAGAGTAGATGGTTCTTACAGGACCTCAGAGCTAGAACAGGCTCCTCACCTGCAATTAACCCACTGCTTTTACATCAGTTTTCCTTTCACATACATCATGAGGAGTTTTGACCACATTGTCTCCATAGCACCTGTCAAAGTCTAAAGGTTGATAATTTATGATCGTAGAGGTTTTATAGCCAGCCTTACAGGATTAATGACAATGAGAACACAATTTTTTGGAAAAAATGTGTTCAGTTTCTGTTCTACATTTGTTCTCGGGTCTAAAAAAAAAAAGTTTCCGTAGAGCCTCACAATGGGCGATAGATGCTGAGCACGGACTCCACTCTGTTGCCAAGCTGAGCATCAGGGGAGCTTTAGATGTTCAGGTTGCCAAGACCTGGTGGGAGCCCAGGCTCTCTGGGCTTCCCAGTAATGAAAACAACCCAGCACATAGATCCTGTGCTCTTCTCCTGACCACGTCCTCCCCCATGTTTAACATGATTTAATCAAATCAAGTAGGAAATGGAATGTGACCCAATGACAAGCCAATATAAAGGTAGAAATTTTGCAAATTTTGTGCCCTACAGGAAAGTTGTGCCCTGAACTTTTTATTTAACAGTTAGGTGTTCATTAAGGACATAGGCAAAGAGCTTTATAATTGAGCAATGCTTCTGTGGGGTGTTCGTTTCAAAAGCTATGCTTCCTTCTAGAAAACAATTTGGTTAAATTAACTTTGACCCAAAGCATCGGAGATGTTTTCCAGTCATTCATCATATACAATCGAAGGGGTTTATCAGGATTTTCCAGACGAGGAAATAGAGACATACAGAAATTAAATTACTTGCCCTAAGGTCAGAATTGAACCCAATAAATTTTGCTTTCTGCTGTAGGAAGTGATTACCCAGATGCGGAGAAAAAAAACAATGTTTGCAGTTACCAGAGCCCATATTATAAATTATTGGATGCTTTTAAAACAGCACTTAAGACATCTGATTGCCAAAAGAGATAGTTTCTGTTGAAGTTACTTTTAGGTAAAGGTCTGGGAATTTTTTTAAAGATACCTTTACCTAAAAACTGCTAGAAAACATCGTGGGCCTTTTTCTTGAGAATTATCTGTTTTAAGGTTTTATAAAAATAACAGTTTGGTTTGTAATCAGCTTCTAATATGGAGGAATGCCAAGTACTGTGTTTTATTCATCTGGTGGTCACTTTCCAGGTGTGAGTTATAGGAGAAAATAACCATCTATTAAGTTAATATCCTACTTACATGATTATACCATTTAACTCTGTTTTAATCTCACCCTCAAATTATCTATGAGACTTTAGAACTCAATCACACCCTATTTTGTTTTGGCTGTGGACCTGGCCTTGTGAAAGATATGATTATACCAATGGGAAGCCAAAGAAATCTAAGAAGGGAGAGTATATATGGGCCACTTTTCTATTCTGAGGTCTTTAACCAGAAACTGTATTTCTTCACAACTGGACATTTCGCATAACTCAGAATCCTAGACTTTTATTCACACACAAGAATCTCATTTCTTGATATCACTTAAAGCAAGAATCATATAACTGGTACACACACACCACTCACATATTCCCACACTTATGCAGACTAAATAAATAAATGCCTATACCTGGGTCATTATGAAAGTTTTGAGATACACAAAAATCAAGAAACAAAATCTGTGCAGACAAAAACAAATGAAGCCTCCCAGCCACACTGTTAAGCCAAGCAAGTTGAAACTTGCACAGGTGGGCAGTGCCTGTGGCTCAAAGGAGTAAGGCGACGGCCCCATATGCTGGAGCTGGCAGGTTCAAACCCAGCCCTGGCCAAAAAAAAAAAAAAGAAAGAAAGAAAGAAACTTGCACAGGTGACTCAGAAATGACGCTGTCAGCTGTGTTTCTTGGAAGTGAAATAATGGACCCTGACAGTCTGTCTCAAATTCGTAGTTACCTACCTATGTATGTAACTGTATGTTCATTTCTTCATCTATCTCAAGAATGCTCTCTACTCTGCTTCCTGGTGCCCAAGAGATGAGATGGTGTAAAATAGACTCTGGGCTAGAGACCAGAAATTAAGGACCCAAAGTAGAAATTTGGGGTCCTTCACCATCACTTTAACCACTCAGCGATTGTTTTCCGTGTAGGCAATATCTACTCGAACGCACTGACAGCCACTGTGTTCACCTGCTGGGGGTGTGCTTTCCCTGGGCCTTCTTCAGGGACTAACACTGCGTTCCATGTTTCAGAGTGTCACACCCTCCGCAGATCGTGCTGCCCATTCACAGCTGGGAACCAGAGGAGGAGCCCCACAAAGAGGAGGAAGTTGGACCATTGGTGGAACATATTTACGAGGTAGTCACTTACAGTCGAATTCGGGGTTTGTTCTTAATCTCTGTGCTAATAAACTCTGCATAGCATTTTAAAAGACATCGATCCAAGGTATGGATTTGTGCTGTTATGATCTCATCACAGTGTAAGGTGGTGGGGATAGATGTTCTGTTGAGTAAACCAGATGTGGTCACTTGCTTCTCAGCACTGCAAGTCATTACGTGGTGACAGACATTTTATCTTGTTACAATTCTTTTTTAATGCTCTTTACTTCCTCTCTTTTGAATGTTTGAAAAGCCTAAGCATAAAAATGGCTAGCTTTCTAGAAGCTTCTGTTTTTCCCCCATATTTTCAGATAGCCTTGAAATGAATATGTCTTTTAAACTGGAGGTCACCAATGGGAAGGTACCAAAAAGAAAATTTTATGAATTATTCACTTTTACACTGAAAAAAAATGCACATTACAGTAGGTTAGTGGTTGATTAGATCACTGAAGAAAGGATATGGGAGGAGGGATGGTATTTGGGGGCACCTCACCTAATGTGCATGATGCAATGGGACATTTCAGAACTATTAAAAAATGAGTATGATTTTGATCGATGTGTTACTTAATTCAATGTAAGCGTTTCACATTGTATATGGAAGCAGTACCCTAAACCCCATAAATGCATCAATGTACAAAGCTATGATTAGATCAGTGAAGTTGATTAGGTCAGTGGTTGAATAGATCGGTGCAGTTGATTAGGTCAGTGGCTGATTGGATCGGTGAAGTTGATTAGGTCAGTGGCTGATTGGATCAGTGAAGTTGATTAGGTCAGTGGCTGATTGGATCCGTGAAGCTGATTAGGTCAGTGGTTGATTAGATCTGAGAAGTTGATTAGGTCACTGGTGGATTATATCAGTGAAGTTGATTAGATCAGCAATTGATTAGATCAGCGCAGTTGATTAGATCAGTGAAGTTTATTAGGTCAGTGGTTCATTAGATCAGTGAAGTTGATTCGGTCAGCGGTTGATTAGATCAGTGAAGTTGATTAGGTGAGTGGTAGATTAGATCAGTGAAGTTGATTAGGTCAGTGGTTCATTAGATCAGTGAAGTTGATTAGATCAGTGGTTGTTTAGATCAGTGAAGTTGATTACATTGGTGGTTGATTAGATCAGTGAAGTTGATTGGGTCAGTGGTTGATTAGATCAGTGAAGTTGATTAGGTCAGTAGTTGATTAGATCAGTGAAGTTGATTGGGTCAGTGGTTGATTAGATCCGTGAAGTTCATTAGATCAGTGGTTCATTAGATCAGTGATGTTGATTAGATCAGTGAAGAAAGGATATGGGAGGACGTATAGTATTTGGGGGAACCTAAAACCAATGTGCATGACGCAACGGTACATTTCAAAACTATTAAAAAATGAGTATGATTGTGATGGATGTGTTATTTAATTCAATGTAGGCATTTCACATTGTATATGGAAGCAGGACCCTAAATCCCATAAATGCATCAAAGTACAAAGTTATGATTCAATGAAAAAGAATTTTAAAAATAAAAGAAAATAACACAATATGGAAAAAATCTTTTTTTTACATTGCATTCGCTAACCTGATTTAACAGTTGATTAGATCAGTGAAGATGATTAGGTCAGTGGTTGATTAGATCAGTGAAGTTGATTGGGTCAGTGGTTGATTAGATCAGTGAAGTTGATTAGGTCAGTGGTTGATTAGGTCTGTGATGTTGATTAGGTCAGTGGTTGATTAGGTCAGTGGTTGATTAAATCAGTGCAGTTGATTAGGTCAGTGGTTGATTAGATCAGTGAAGTTCATTAGGTAGACAGATAAGAATAATTTTACTTTTCATTCAGGTAACACAAATTAGAAATGAATAACTTATTCTGAGATTTAAGGTGCTGTATTGAAGGGCTGGGCACAGTGGCTCACACATGTATTCCTAAGCACTCTGGGAGGCCAAGGTGGTTGGATTCCCTGAGCTCAGAAGTTCAAGACCAGCCTGAGCAAGAGCAAGACCCCTAAAAACAGCTGGGCACTGTGGTGGGTACCTATAGTCTCACTTACTTGGGAGGCTGAGGCTAGAGGATCACTTGAGCCCTGGAGTTTGAGGTTGCTGTGAGCTATAAGGCCACAGCATTCTACTCAGAATGACAAAGTAAGACTATGTCTCAAATTAGTAAAATATTTTTCAGAAGCATGAAAAGGACCTCTTTTCCCACTTGAAGTGTTAAATTGTGAATGAGGAAAAGATTTATTGACATACAATCTGACACCTTGGAATTTTTTACAGTTAGAAACTAACCATAAAAATTTCAAAGGGTAGTTTAGTAAAAGGTAGATTTAGCAAAGAGTTAATTTAGTCATTGATCAGGTTTTTGTTTGTTTTTTAATAAAGTCAGTGCTAACAGTAGGGGGTATTTATTCCTATTCACTGTCAAGGGACCAGGAATGGAATGTTGGTGAAACGATGTTCGAGGCATTTTCTATTTGAGGTTCCTTCTTGATTAATGCTTTCTCTTCCTTCCCTGTGTAACTCATGCCACTGCTCTGGTAATTCTATGACTTTCTTCTCAAGCTACAAGGGACTGTAAATAACAACCTCTGAGATTAACAATAAAGCCTTTTCAAAACTGATGAGCTGTTTTACATACGTGGGAGGAAGCCTCAATTCCTGCGCAGTGTCAGCGTGAAAACTTCAGCCATCTGCCTAGCCTATGGTTTAGATTCAGAAGCCTTGTCCAAAGCAGGATCAAAGCTTTGCCTTAAGCCCCTTTGATAGCAAAAGGATAATACATTCTCCAAGGCCATTCTTATTAAGAACCTCCCTGGGGAGTGCGGAAAATAACTGTCAAGCACTTTATTAAAGCTGTGTGTACTGGTTTCCACTTCAGAATAGTGAAATTTTATAAACTTTGAAAATATTTTTAGACTCCATCTTTCTTAGAACAGGCCTGCTTCTAATGTTAGCATACATGGATCCTACAAGTTTAGAATAATTACTAGTCGTGCTAAAATCAGTCCTCAAATATCAGGTCTCAAACTATACTATATCAATGGATGCCGTGCTTTTTGGATAAGGTGAATTAAATAAATAGGCCACCTAAAAAGCAAACACAATTGTACCATGTTTAGAGATCACTGTACCCATCAGAATGTTGAGAAAAAAGAGAAGATCCCTGCTAACCTTGAAGTAAATTTTTAAATTAAATTACATTTAAATGTACTTCATGTTTGTGTTGTGTTCTCCAAGAGCGGACTTCACATGTTGAAAATGTTTATCTCTTTAAGAGATGTGGCCTGTCCTTCCTTGAGATTTCCAGATTGAAACAGAGCTCAGCTTTGAAATGAACTTTCAGAGTGACTATGGAGAGCAATGACTGGCTTTGTCACTTGATGGATGGCCATTTGTCCAAGGGGTGAATGAGAGGGCGTCCCATATGGTTGCAATTGCTGAATCAGTCCTCAGGAAAGAGGGGGCAGATTTCAGTGTAAAAAAAGAATTGCTACATTTTGAAACCATATCACTAAAAGTGCATTTTTAGCAGTACGACTGAATTCATATAAACTCTGAGTAAGTATCACAATGATCAGACGTGCTTAATATGATCTTTGTTGATGAAACTTATCCTAAGAGCTTTGCAGTTTGAAGAATATTCTCTGAGTGCCAGGACACCAGGCTTTCAGAGCACTTTTTGCCAGATAGACTCTTTATTTTCTTATTTTCCATATAAAGAAAGTGATGACTTAAAATTAATAATACCTATTTTTTTTAATGAGTAAAGAATACACAGAGTTTTATTTCACCCCCCTGCCTTTTGCTGTAACATTATATAATATGCACTTACTTCAAGCTACACAATATTGGACCAAGCGCCATCAGTGACACCATTCTGGAAGTAGGCTGGCCATTCTCCGCCCGGGATGAATTTCTTCTCTATATTTTTCATATTCAAACGCTGGGACCTCTACAGTGTCAAACAAATCCTGATATCAACCCCCAGGACATAAAGGTAGGTGTCTAATTCAATTGGCAGCTTTCATTTTTTTATGGTATAGAAAAATTAAAATGGTGACTTGATTTTTTTAAAAAAAGCAAAGTAATTACATTGATAGTATTAATATACTACCATAATAATATACTACGGGCAGACCTTTTCTTCTAGTTTTATAATTAAATTATTAAGTCTAATTTATACTATCCCTCTGATAAAACTTAAATTTCTCTTATTTCTATTGCTCAAGGTGACTTGTCATTTATTTAGCCCATTTCAATAAGTACCTTTTATATCTGACTTGATAGCAAGGAGCACAACCCAAACAAAATCGTACACGTATACTCTGGTTTCTCTTCAGATCGTATAAATCTTTCGCCTTTTACAAAATCGTACATAGACACGCCATCTTTTGGAAAATTAGGACAAGATGCAATTTTGAACGTCTTTGTTGGTCTGTCGCCCAAAGAGATGAGGATCTCTGCCAAAACAGGCTATTCCAGCTGTTGCCAAAAGCTAGTGGTGAAATGTGATAATTTGCCAAGGGCCATGTCAGTGCCCCAAAAGCTCCCAGACTGGCATGTTCAGGGAGTTCTTTATTTGAACTTATAGAGAAGCCTAGAGGGGTGCTTTAAACTACCTCTCCATCACCTGGGGGTCTGTTAAGATGCTGGCCTGGGACCTGAGGTTCCGCCTCCCTTAGAGCCTCCACCTTCTGCCCTTGAACATGTCTGCTGGCTGTACCCTCATGGACAAGTTCAATTGTCTAAACTGTCCAGGTTAAAGTCCAAATTTGGCTTTAAGCTCTTTCTGTGAAGGAAATAAATTAATTAGCATAAGCCCTTGAAAAGGTCACATTTGTATGAAAACAAAAACAAAACATGGTTGATCGGATGTGGTCCTCGGAAGGAATATTTTCCTAGGAGCTACAGGGACACAGAGTCTCTGTTAGAAATGGCCCAAGGACGTCCTTCATGAAATACTGACTCAACTGTCCAACACAGAGCAGGTCTGCCTCTCTGTCAGCCAGTGACACTGTGTCACTGCCCATTATGAAAGGCTTTCTTCTTCACGCCAGCTGCCATGTATTTGGACAGGAAGACTGAAAGGGGGTTCAACAGTAGAAGACTTAAGGGGTGACAAGCCTTCTTTATGGGGAAATAATAAATAAGGCCACTTGTAGTACCCAAAATTATTTAAAATACTTCCTCCCTGGAATTTTGTTCTCATTTCCTCTCTGCTCTTCCTTGAGATGATTTTTAATATCTTCATCTTCAAGTGTGCATGTATAACATTTAAGTAATTAAAACTTGTGAATATCCTGCTCTGTATGCAATACATACTGTATTTCAGTCTCAGATTCTTGGAGGTCACGACAACCAAGAAGGCTTCTAACTTTCTTGGCGTGTAGTATTTACTTGATATCTGACATATTTCTATATGTTTGTATTTATTATGCAACTTGTTTAATGTGTCCCACATGGGTTGTGAGTTATTTGGTTTCTTTGTAGCAATTTAACAATTATCTACAGAGACTGGGACAGCTCTACTAGATGACTTGCCTTAAACGGTGTCAGACTTGTGCAAACTCAGTGGTGATGTGTAAGTAGGCACCTGGCATTTCCTAAAACCCAGGTATTTTTTCAAGTATAGACTTTGATTGAAAATCTGTCTGAGAGGCTGGGCGCCAGCCACATACACCTAAGGTAGTGGGTTTGAATTCAGCCCAGGCCCACCAAATAACAATGATGGCTGCAACCAAAAAATAGCCAGGCATTGTGGCGGGCGCCTGTGGTCCCAGCTACTTGGGAGGCTGAGGCAGGAGACTCACTTGAGCCCAGGAGTTGGAGGTTGCTGTGAGCTGTGATGCCATGGCACTCTACCCAGGGGGATAGCTTGAGGCTCTGTCTCAAAATAAAAAAAAAAGAAAGAAAGAAAATCTGTCTGAGGCTAGTGATTTTTAAAATGCAATTAAATTACACTTGTTTTCAAAAATTTGCAATGCGGGAAATTGAATATAAGATTTGATTACAATATGAAGTCATATCTCCCTAAAATAACTAATTATGACAATTTGTGAATTCTTGAAATTCTGAATTCAAAAACGTTTGAAATGTTCTTATTTTCAGATATTCGCAGAATCTTTGCATCTGTTGAATACATGGCCCAGAGTCTGAAAGAGTTTTTATCAATAAATAAAATTTAAAAATTAATAATCAGTATACTTCATATCAGTAACTTCATATGGTTAAAAATAATTGAGAATATTTGAAAGTTATTCTCCCCTTAAGATAGGAAATAATTTCTTGGTGAAGTTTCTATCAATTTGGCAATTTATTTCTTCCCAGAGAATAGAAAGATAAACAGTATTCTCTGTCTTAAATATGAGTTGGAAATTAGTAAAAAAACAAATTATTTCCAAGCCGAGGCTGTCTTCAACAGAAGAGTTCGAGAAATTTTGATTCTGATATCAATGTCAAATTCAAATTAGCATCAAGGCTAGTTGCTGGGGGGTTTTTAAGTTGTAGAACAGATCGCTTTATTTTAGTAAGAAGCAGAGAGAGAAGACATACAGTAAAATTATTTCAGTAGAATAAGCAGAAAAACGTACTGGGTGTTGTGGTTGGCACCTATAATCCTAGCTATTTGGGAGGCTGAGGAACGAGGATCACTTGAGCTGAGAGTTTAAGGTTGCTGTGAGCTATGACACCATAGCACTCTACTGAGGGCAGCAGAGAACATGTTTCAAAAAAAAAAAAAAAGCAGGGAGGCAGAAAAAAAATATATATATATAATATATATATGTTTTATATGTATATACACACATGAACCCACCACCTCTGGTATATGAGGCTGGTGCCCTACTCCTTGAGCCACAGGCGTTGCCCCAGAAATATATTTTTAAAATCAAGAATTAAATTCCAGTATTCCATCTTTCTTTCCCAGTGAGTAAACTAAGGTCCAATTCCTTACTCCTTGGTTCTACAGCATCTTTACAGAGAAGTGATAGGTCCTGCATGTTTCTGAAGCATCTTCACCTGTGAACAGCTCCCATCTACATGTCCTTCTGCTTCTCTGAGGACGTTTCAACCCCTACTAGACTAACTCCCCAGATGTCCCAGGCCAACCTTGAACCTGTCAGAGGGGACTCCCACCCCAGCGTTCTAAAGTTGAGGGATCCACATAGCCCACACGACATTAGCCTCTTCAATCATTCGGTTGATTTCCCTTTAGTGAAATCCCTTTCTCTTGTGTTCAAATACATTTTTTTTAATCAACTCCTCCCTCCCTTAGGTGTTCTCATTTTTGCCCACTCACCACTGGACAGTATTCTCCCTTTTATTTCCTCTTTCCATCCCCCTGAGGATCTCTAAGGAAACTTGCTTGTAGAAAAGAAGCCACCAAATTTTCTTAGAAACACTCATTCCCAGGAACCAGTGCCACTGACTCTAAAGCCTTTGACATTTCTCAGAAATCCCCCAGAATCTCTATAAAATCCCCACATACATTCTCATCCCCCTCTGATTAGGTCTAGTTCCTTGTAAATATCAGCATTTGATACACTGTACTTAACGCATTGATTATTTTGATCCCTATTTTTTAAATCACTCCTATGGGCAAGGGTCCTGGGTATTATTATTTTTATAACCAATATGCCATTTACAACATCAAAGCCATATTGAGGATTAAGTTGATTTTTTGTGGACTGGCTTAAGATCTGAACCACCCTTTAAAACACCATTTCTAAAGAGAAATGCATTCTAAATGCCAAACATCTAACCTAAAACCTTCTGAAATATAACCAGTCTATAAACTAAATATGCATTCCAAATACGGTGTAAGCCTCAAAGTCCTCTCATATAAGCCTGATCATCCAATGAGACTTCTCAGCAAGGTTCATTGTTCACAATAGGGACTGGTACACTTTGCTTATCCCACCAAGTTACCCAATGTCCCTCAAAGTTTAAGGAGGGGACACTGATGCAGTGCGGTCTTAACACAGGGTATATTTGAGCATCTTATCTGTCTTGCTTTCCTAGGAACAGTTTTAGAATCCTTAGAGATTTTCCTTAGCATTGTACCCTTAGCTGTTTATTACAAAATATTAGAAAAAAATTTTTTTTACTTTTTATGAAACTTTGGGTTCCTTAGTAGAGTTTCATTTTTCAACCTCATCTTATCCAAAGATGGTCGTCTATTTGCAGGACTCTCCAAATAAAGTCCACCAAAACAAAAAGAAATGGTAGCTTGAAACAATTGTTTGACCACTCTTCTTACACAACCTCTTGTTTTCATGTCTGAGGACACCAAGGCCCCCTGAGCTTAGCACAGGGACATGGAAACAATGGGGTCATTTACTTCCTTGCTCACTTCTGCCTCTCAGTGACAAGGTCCCTGCCTTTGGGTTTCTATTCCTTTCCTGACAGTTTCTACTTCATCAATTTCATAAACTTCAGGGTATAAGCAGATGTCCATGAAGGTTCTCTCTCCAGGTTTCATGGTCTAGCTCAGAGGTAGGGGATTTTAATGTGGCCATTTCTTCGCGTGGTACCATTTTTAAAAACACTGTGAAACATTCAACCGTCTGCAGCATCCAGACCAATCCATTAAAGTTAATTTGTTCCAGATCCTTTTTGGAATAAAAGTTTAGAGTGGAGCAAAGTATTTCTCAACTAGACTAAAGGCAGTCAAATAATTATTTCAAACTACTAGTTTTCTTATTTTGGTGGACATTATCCTAGGGTTTGGGGAGCCATACAAACAGGCTATGGTCTTTAGATAAGATGAGTTTGAAATACAAAACCCTACTAAGGAACCCAAAGTTTCATAAAGAGTAAAGGATTTTTTTTTAATTGGCAATATTTTGTAATAACGGCCAAGTGCAAGATGCTGAGGGAAAATGCTATGGCATGTGAGACTGGACGTAGGGAAGGAGGACAAATAAGAAGCTGAAACATAACCTGTGTGAAGACCACAGGATGCCATTCTGGGCTGAGCGCAGGAAAGAAGAATGTGGA